TTTCCACAGAGCTGGCTCAAGGCAGCTAACAACATTAAAACACTAAATACATTAAAATACAGAGTAAATGCAAACAACAACCATTAACCGTGCCAATGATTAATAACAACAACAACAACAATAATACAGGTCCTTTCCGCACCAGACCTTAAATCCTGGTTCAACCCTGTCCCCAAACTTACATCCTACACTACATGCGAGTTCACCCCTGTAATCTTCTTGGGGTATTTTTTGTTTCCACATTACACTGAGGTCTCACCGGTTTCGTCCCACACTTGTCCCGGGATAAACGGACGCTGTTATCACCAGGGATACATGCAAGGTATTGCGTTGCGGGTTGAGCTCTGATGAAACCAGGGATGAGATCCAAGGGCGGAAAGCACCACAGACACAGAGCGGAGGATGATCTGGACCTTTTACAGTTGGGAAGGGAGCTGCCAGCGTAGTCACTGCCTCCTCCGACAAATTGTTGGGTGCCGCCAGCAGCACTCGGCTGTGCTCGGAGGGAAAGGGGGGTGTTTTACCTTAGGACATCTTATGCTACGACTATTTTTTCATCTTGTGGGGACAGGATTGCACTGGAAGGAGCAGGCAGGGTTGTTTTGCGGGAGGGAAGAGATCTCTCTCTCTCTCTCTCTCTCTCTCTCTGTGCCTAAAAGGGGAGGGGGAAAAGTGATTGTTACTTCGACCCTTGCCTGGCAGCCGAGGAGGGGGTCCTGCATTTGGGGGCTGTCATGATCTGGGCTGTGCCACCAGAGGCCTACTAGGCCCAGGGAGCCTGACTAGCAGTAGGTGAGGCTGGGCCTACAACTCCCAGAAGCCCCTGAGAGGTTTTGGAGCCAAAATTGACCAATAGGGAAGAAGAGGGCTGGGGAACAAAAGGGCTGGTGCCAGAGCAGAAGCTGTTCTTTCTTCCCAGAGGGCAGAGCCAGAGGGAAGGCTCCTGCAGGGGAGAGACCCTCATCCTGAGGGAAGGGTGATTAGTGTAAGGCCACTTGAGATAGTGAGCTAGGGACAGTGTATATATAGACGCGTTAGGGCATTTGATTTCTTCTCTTTTCACCCACTTACTGTTATTATTCTGCACCTTGTTTGTTTGACCTCCTATAAAATAAACTATTTTCCTTGTTTACTCTGCCTGGTCCCGTTATTCGGCCTAAAGGGAGGTCTGAAGGTCTTGGGAGGGTGCTCTGGGCCTTCTCAAGGGAACCTAAATCCAGAGTGGTGGCAGCGTCAGGTGACACCCCACCTGAGCCGTGACAGGGGCCATGGAAGTATGGCTCCCAGACCCATGGAAGGGGTGGGCTTGAAGTGGGCTATTCCTGGGGTTGCCTGGAATTCTTCCTCCCATGCTACGAACGGCCGCCTGGCTGGCAGCCATCCGTGAATGCCAACGCTCCTCCCCAAGCTCTGGAGTCATCCTTGAGCCTTCTGCACCTTTTGGTATGCCACAAAGGGCATTCAAGGCTTTTAAGACTTCCAAGCAGGCCCGTAGCCAGGATTTTTAAAGTGAGGGGGCATTTAAATTTCTTAGGGGGCACTGGCAAATCAAATTAAAGGAATACCTGGCTTCTTCTCCGCACCTGCTGCCACTCGGGGGCCCTGGGCTGGATGGAAAGTTGTGGGGTCTGCCCAGTAAGTCAGGGGGACTAGCCCCAAGATGCCTCACCGTAGCTATGGGCCTGCTTCCAAGACATTCCTGTGCCCAAGGGGTCCCTTTAATGAATACACAACACGAGCCCCGTTTAAATGAATGGGTAGGGCTTCAGTGGATTTCCTCCCTGAGGCTTGCTTAGAAGAAATGTCTCGGGGGGGGGTGCCCTAATGGCCAGCTCCATCTGCTTTTGTGCCACCCTTAGTGCCACGCAGCAAAGGGCCAGGGGGCTCTATGCCTTGTGCTTGGGGTGCATCCGGAGGAAGCCGTCCCAAGAGCGCACCGGCTCCCAAGCCACATGAAGCCGCTGTTTCCTTCACATGTTGATTTCCAATCCATCTTGCTTGTTCCCCACAACATCTTATGAAGAAAAAAAAAAGTGTTTGCCAGGTCTTTCCGTGTAGAGAAGATGCATCACATATTTACATCTGCTGTTTGCACGGAAATATTTGCAAATGTACAACATTGAGATGGAGCTGGAAAGAATTAACAAACAACGTCCAACAGGATTTGTGCAAATATCGTGACAGCTGCTCCCCCACCCCCCGCCTGGAAACCCACATCAAATATGTGTTATTAATCTTGAAGTGTGTGGTAGTCTTGGATAAGAAAACACACTTCAGAAACAGGGATTCCTTTGTCCTTTTAAAGGGATCCTTCTCTTCCACAGGGAAGCTACAGGCAACCAAAGCAGCCACTTAGAACAGTCCGTCTGAGGGAGGTGCAGCATCGAAGGGTCACCTGTCTGTGGAGACAGAGAGGAGCTGCTAGGCAGATGCCCGGGCTGAGGCTCGCAAGGAGACCAGCAGCGCCAGTCCCAGGCAGGGGCATGGCAGGATCTTGGAACAAGCCTCAAGCTGGTAAGGAGCAAACTTTGGGGGCCAGAAGACCAAAGAGCTTCCTGGGCAAAAGGAAAGGCGTTTCGAGCACCAGGGGATGGCCAGCTGAAAGGAGGCTGGCCAGACGAAGGAACGCAGGGAGCTGCCTGGCACCAAACCAGAAGGCCGGCCGGCCGGTCACTCTGACCTGGGGTGGCTCTCTGGCACGGGAGCCTCTTTCCATCCTGCCGCCAAGAGTCGCTGCCAGGGCCTCAAGGGGGGACCTCTCACATGCCAAGCAGCTGCTCTTCTGTTGACCCACGGCAGCCGTCCTTCCATCTGCTGGCCACGCGAAGCGACACATGCACCAGGGAACTCCCCCTACCGTGACACGGCTGATCTGCCCACCTGGGTCCTGGCCTGTAGGACATCAAGAAGACTAGACTACTGTAATGCACTTTGTGTAGGACTCCCCACTAAGTCGACGCGGAGACTTCGGCTGCTGCAGAATGCAGAATGGTTATTATAGGAAGCTAGGTGGCGCCCGGATATTACTCCCGCACCAGCATCACCAGCTGCCCATCACTTAGCCGGGTCCATTCAGTGTATCGGCTGTCACACACAGAGGGCCCTCCATGGCCTTCATCCCTCATCTCTGCCTGACTGCTCTTCCCCAGGGCAGCAGGGCTCACCTGAGCAGGGGCTTCTGCAGGTGCCCCCCTGCAAAGGAGCCAAACCAAGAACTGCCTGGGCACGAGAGCTTTTGACACTGTGGGCCCTGCCACACTTGGGGATCAGGAAGATTCCCACCCTCCTGCAAACTGTCCACAACTGAACTTCTCAGGAGGGCTTTTTGACACAGGGAGGAGGGCTGTGCTGCAACGGAACGGTCCAAAAAGATGCTTGGGGAAAGGGAACGGGACTGCGGACTTTACGATTCTGCTTGTTCTCAGTTATCTCCGGTCACTCCCAGCCCTACTGCCAGTTTGGCGTAGTGGTTAGGAGCACGGACTCTAATCTGGGAGAACCAGGTTTGATTCCCCACGCCTCCACTTGCACCTGGCTGGATGACCTTGGGCAAGCCACAGTTCTAATAAGAGCTGTCCTTGAAAAAGAGCCATTTCTGTCAGAGCTCTCTCAGCCCCGCCTACCTCACAGGGTGTCTGTCTGTTGTGGGGAGGGGAAGGGAAAGGAGTTTGTGAGCCACTCTGAGACACCTTCGGGTAGTGAAGGGCGGGGTATGAAATCCAATCTCTTCTTCTTCTTTGTTTTACTGGACGACCCATCCTGCTGATTGTCCTGACTCACACGGTGTAATCTCTCGGTGACTCAGGCAGACTATAGACAACGTAAATCAAGGAAAAAAGAAACAAAATCCCCGTTCTCAAGTAATCTGTGGTTACTGCATAAGTTGGTGCCTCAGGACAGGAAGGCTACTTGTGAAAGCTTTATTAAGAACTCCAAGTGCATGATTCCTTTGCTGCCCTTTTCCACTCAAATGGCAGCACTAGATAATAAATGCTGTGGTCAGTTTTGAAGGGACAGCAAAGCTGGTTCCGCACTGCTGCTTCACGGAAATAAAATGAGCAACTTCTGCTTCAACTGTGGCTCACGGATCATTGCTAGAAAGTCCCATATGCTGGAATTTCCTCTCCTGGGAGATCAGACATCCCCTGTCTAGCAGGATCTTCCACCAGTGGGCGAAAACTTTTTTCTTTTATCTGGCATTCCCTCGCTGGTTCTCCTGGCCCCTGCTTCCCATTTAGGCATTTATTTAGTGATTTGTTCTAATTGTTTTTAATATATGTTTTCACCACGGGGACCCTAATTTGGGTGGGAAATGTTTCGAAATTAACAATTATTTAAAAGGTTTTAAGTAAACCATTTGGGGCCAGGGTGATTATTTGTAGTGGTTAAGTGACTGGACTCTAATCTGGGAGAGCGGGGTTTGATTCCCCACTCCTCCACTTGCACCTGGCTGGATGACCCTGGGCAAGCCATAGTTCTGACAAGAGCTGTCCTTGGAAAAGAGCAGTTTCTGTCAAGAGCTCTCTCAGTCCCGCCTCCCTCACAGGGTGTCTGTTGTGGGGAGGGGAAGGGAAAGGACTTTGTAAGCCGCTCTGAGTCTCTTCTTCTCCTTCTCTTCTTGAAGGACTGCCTCTTTCATAAGAACATCAGAGAAGGATCTTATAGACCTCGATCATGTCACCCCTCAGCTGTCGTTCCTCCAAGCCAAAGAGCCCCCAGCGGTTCCCCCCTATTTTCCAGCCCCACCACTCAAGCGGTCCCTCCCTGGCTCTGCTCTCTTTCCCACCCGCCTTCAGCGGGGAGGCGGGTGGGGGCCAGAGACGGGGCAATGGCATCCTCCGTGGTGGCCCCTTGGAGACCCGCCTCCCGGGGAACAGGCTGAATGGCATCTGGGACCCGGGGGCTGGGCCCTCCCTCCCCGCCCGCTTTGCAGTCGGCATCTCGTCCGACGCCCGCCTCGTCACTCCTTTTATGCGGGGCTGGTCTGTTCTCATCCCCAGCCGCATGCGCAGTTCCCCCCGCCACCAAGCAGCGAGGACGCGGAGACCACGCCCTTGGCCGTGACGTCACCAGAGAAGGGGCGGCGCCGGGGCACCCCTCGCCCCGCCCCCTCCCGGGGACGCGGCGCGCACGTCTGCCGCGACATCGTCAACGCGTCCCCGCGCGCGGGGGGTTGTGGGGTTGCAAGATGGCGGCCCTCA